AAAATTTAAAAATAGAATTACTATATGACCCAGAAATCCCATTTCTGGGCATATACTCAAAGAACAAAAATAGGATCTCAGAGATTCACACAACCATGTTTCTAACAGCTTTGTTCACAAAGGCCAAAAGATGGAGGTAACCTAAGTGTCCATTAACAGATGAATGAATAAGCAAAATGTGACATTACACACTGCCGCGGACCAGCCCAGCAGCGGCGGGAGATCGAGACAATCTCCGAGATTAAGTGAGAACGAGCAAAAGGTGGTCGAAGGAATTAGGGCGAGGGACAAGAAAGAATGACACACAGACACACTCAAGGGAGAGTGAAAATCTGAGTGCAATTTATTGAAAGTATCATGCTCTTTTTATACATTTTCATAGACATTGCATAAGGTTGCTTTTGTACATTATGTGGTTAATCATACACCAAATCACCAAATCATTACATGCAGTGAAACATAACGAAGACAATATGCACTAAATCAAGCTTCTGATCATGCACAAGCGTCGATGAATCAGGTACATACCGAGACCTCTGCAAGAGGTCCCATTTTTCTCTATGCTATTCATGACCTCTAGGTTTTTGGTAATTAACCCTAGCTTAACCATTGACTCAACTATTCAGAATTCTCTTGTACTTGGGATCTATGTTGACCTACATATTTTTGTTATTACTGTGACTGTTTATACAGCACAACCTAATTCCATTATTCTAGGCTCCCCACACCCACCAGATTCCTAATGCATTTTCCGTAAGCAGTCAAACTAGTTTTACAATAATAGTTTAATAAAGCTTAAACCCATTATAAGGAGCAACGGTGTGACTTCAGCAAATTGAGCAAGTTACTGAAACTCAATGTTATTGCCTTCTAGCAGTTATTTTCCATAGAGTTAAAAAGGGGGGACACTTATAAATCCCCTCGGGGACTGCGCCTGTCTTAGGTCGTCAGGAGTCACAAACCGAAGGTCTGTTCCTGATCTTACCCGTCATTGGCTGACCAGTCCAGCGCACAGGGGAAGAGGGTCTTACGTACTTTATTTGTGATCATCCACAGTACAGCCACTCTTTATTTCATCCAATTACTGGCGATCAATGGTGGCAACAGTGGCATTGCCAACCATGGAGGCAGGAGCTGCCACAACACACAAGTGGAAATTACTCAATCTTGTAAATTCTGATATATGCTACAATTCGGATGAAACGTGAAGACATTATGCTAAGTGACTTTAGTCACAAAAAGACAAATACTATGATTCTACTCATGTGAGGTACTTAACACAGAGAAAGACAAGTATAATGGTATGTGCCAGGGGCTGGAGAGAGTGGGAGAAGAGAAATAATGTTAAATGAATACAGAGTTTCAATTTTAGAGAATGAAAAAAGTTGAGCTGAGATGGATGACAGCAATGGTTGCACAATGTTTTTATACTTTAGAGCATCCTGACCCCCCAAAACAGGTACAGTAAAAGGATAGTGTTTGGGATAATAAAACTAAACAAGGCCATGTGATCCACAGATTATTCACATCAGCCATAAATGCTCAGTGTCCAAGAGTACACCTACCATCACATGGTATAAAGTAGTCCTGTAACTTCAACCCATCACAGTGTACTAGACAGACCATTCTGGAGCCCTCAGAGAACTGAACTCTCAGAGTCCATGAAAATTAAATATGGACATTATTTGAGGTTACCCTCACTGAACCATTCCACTAGCAAGAAGAAATCTAGACATCCAATGGCTCCCCATCATTAAGGCAGGCAATGCAAGGAGGGACCTAGGCAGAAGACTGCAGACAACAAATTCTGAAACTGATGACACATTATATAACTGTCCCTACTGCACCGTGCTATCCAAAGAATGTACAATACTCTCCAACCCTAATTACTATTAATATAAAAATTACACTGGTAAAATTATTTAGAAAATATTTAGGATAGTTATATCTAAATTATTTTAATCATTGCATAATTTGACACTATTGTAAAAAGCAGGTCTTAAGTCTGTAAGATGTTTTGAGAATGCACTGCCCAATTTAAGAGTAATGTTTCACAGAGTAAACATAAATTGATTTCTTTGTTATATCCAGTAAGCTCTATATTATCATGCTAGGGAGTTAAGAGTGGTACTGTAAATCATTATGAGATTGAAAGCATTGACTAAATATTTTCAGACAGGCTAAGAGAGAAATTGTGAGATGAGAACTGTTAAAATTTACAATGTTTGAGATAGGAGTAGGATTCAACTTGAAGACCAGGAGAGCGAAAAAAATGCTTCAAGTTTTTGAAGTTAGTATCAAAAGCCTGTTCACACAACTTGATTCTAAATAGTCAGGGAGGGACTTCCTGGTGGCACAAGGGGTTGAGTGTCAGCAATAGGAAGTTAGCCACAATGGCATGAGTTCAAACCCCAGCCAGGAAGCTGCTCACATGGCGCAGGAGACCTCTCCTGTCTCACCCGCTGCTCCCCTCCGCAGTGTATTTCAGTAGATCTGCTTGTTCTGCTCCCCACTCTGTCTCTGGTGAATCCTTTCACACCCCCCACACCTCCGGCCTGCACCCCATTCTTGTAAGTATAAATAAATAAATCTTTTAAAAATAAATAAATAATCCTGGGAGTCGGAGCAGGAAGGTGGGAGAACAGGTGTGGGAATAGAGAAAACAAGATCACCCACTAGTTGATTGTCTTTGAGGCAAGGTAATGGATATAGTGGGATTTCACTGTACTGTTCGCACTTTTTGTCGTATGAAATTTTTCACAGTGACCCACAAAAATGTGTATAACAAACATGCAACAGAAAAAAATACCTTATAAACTTAATAGTGAACAAAATCTGAGATGGAATTCACGTTAGCAGACTACTGAGTTAATTCCATTGTTTCAATAAAACACAAGCATACACAAAAAGAAGTTATGAGAATTTCATCTCACACCTCAACTAAACTCTTCAACTTAATCTTCTCAGGCAAGCTCATCAGTATGGAAAAGGTTTCACTTGTGGACACCAGAGGTCTATTCAAAAGAAAAGGGTGCGTTGGGGTCTCATTCAACTCTCAGAAAAGAAAATGGCCTGGAAGCAGTTGTTTTCAAGTGCTCTATCAGATAAAGTCTCAAGATGGTTGTTGGTAATATACTGGATAAAAATTTTAAAAAGCACAGATATTAAAACCTAATAAAACTTCATAGTAAAAATAAACATTTTAAATGACTAGGCCTAATTACTGAGAAAACTCAGAAATGCCATTTCTCCAAAGTAAGAACCATTCTTTCAGGCCCATTTCACTATCACAAATTTTTACGATAAGCAAATCAGGCAGGGAAATGATACTAAGTACACCAGAATGGGACATATATCTAAGTCAATTATTTAGGGAAGATAAGACTTAACACAGAATTTTAAAAAAACTGTAATTATTAATAGGTGAAAACATATAGTAAAAGAAACATATATGCTATAAGAAACACACCGAGAGATAAACTGGACTTAATCAATTAGAAACTTTACTGCTTCAAAGAACATCAAGAAAATAAAAAAAGACAACCCACACAATGAAAGAAAATATTTGTAAATCATATATTGATAAGAGACTTACACCTAGAATATGTAAAGCGCGCTTTCAACTAAACTATAAAAAGACACATTACCCAATTAAAAATGGAAAAAAGGGTTTGGAGAGTCACTTCTCTGAAGATATATAAAATGGTCAATAAAAGCATGAAAAAGATACTCAACATCATCAGCCATCAAGGAAAGGAAAATCAAAACTACGATAAGATACCACTTCACACCCACTAGAATAACTATAATTTTTTTTAAAGAAAGGACAATAACTACTTTGTTAAGGGTGTAAAGAAACTGGAATTTTCTTACACTGGTAGGACTATCAGATAGTATAGCCACTTTGAAAAGTTTTTCTTCAAGAGGCCTCCCCGATGGCGCAGCGGTTGAGCGCTGGGTTGCGAAGCTGCCCACAGCCTCTGCAGCACCGGTTCGATCCCCGGCTGCTCCCCGGCCACCGGAGGAGGGTCCCACATGGCGCGCAGACCTCTCCTGCCGCCCGCTGCTCCCCTCAGCAGTGTACTTCGGTCCTTCTGCCTGCTCTGCTCCCCGCTCTGGCAAATTCTCTCACCCTCCCGCGCTTCTGACTGTACCCAGTGCTTGTATAAATAAATAAATAAGTAAATCTTTAAAAAGAAAAAAAGAAAAGTTTTTCTTCAAAATGTGAAAATTAACGTACAACCCAGCAATTCTACTCCTCAGCACATAATCAAGAGAAAACATAGCCAGACAAAAATGTGCACATGAATATTCCCAGCATTATTTATACTATTCAAAAAGTGGCAACAACCCAAATACCAATTAACTGATAAATGAATAAAAGCAATTTTTTTATCTCTTATCATGAAATATTGCCTGGCAATAAGGAAGTTTTGATACATGCTACAACATGGATGAACCTTGAAAATATTATGCTAAGTGAAATAAGCCAATCACAAAGGACCACATAGTTTGTGATTCTACTTATATGAAACCTCACACCAAAATGCTACATGTGAATCCAAAAAAGTTCAAGTTTAAAAAGCCAGGTCATTTAATTGGAAGATTAATGGAGTAACCCAGCTGAGCTTGGTTTATACAGTGCTCCCTTAGTGCAAGGATCTATTCTAAGGCTGCATTCTTTTTTTAACAATTTATGGCCGTACAGAGGAGAACATAGATTATCTTGCTCAAAGCCGCATGCCTAACAAATGGTGAAATGAAAATTCAACCCACAGTCTGACAACAGAGCTTGCACTCTTAATTCATAATATTGTCAACCTCCCTTGGTACACAAAAGCTAATCAGTAAGAAAGATACCTAATGTGAATCTAATCATCACCCTCCTCCTACAGGGTTTATGTTCTACCCACCTAAATTTACCATAGTCAGGTAATGTATAAAGATAATTATGGCATGAAAACATAGCATTCATAATAAAATACTGACATTCTATTTACCTTCTGCATTACTGACTGTTGGCTCAGGAGTGATTCTTCCATCATGAATATTAGAGCTCTCCTCATCAGCATATATCAGATGGTCATCCTCTCTATTTTCTGGCCACTGTGGAACCTCTCTTGTGTCTGTTGAGCAGCTACACACTTCTTCAGTCTTGTTGAAGTATCTTTGTAGCCATCCTGGCACAATATTTTTAACAGATTCTGTCACCCTACTAAGAATACCCTGTGGAAAAGAAAAATACATAGGAAATTTTAGAAATTCATCTTTTTTTTTTTTTTAATAGAGGCATGCTTTGTTTATTTATTTATTTGTTTGTTTGTTTTGTTTATACATGCACTGGGTACAGCAGAAGCGCGGGAGGGTGAGAGAATTCACCAGAGCCAGAGCGGGGAGCAGAGCAGGCAGAAGGACTGAAGTACACTGCTGAGGGGAGCAGCGGGTGGCAGGAGAGGTCTGCGTGCCATGTGGGACCCTCCTCTGGTGGCCGGGGAGCAGCCGGGGATCGAACCGGCGCTGCAGAGGCCGCGGGCAGCTTCGCAACCAGCGCTCAACCGCTGCGCCACCGGGGAGGCCCAGAAATTCATCTTTTTAAATAAATATCTCGTTACAGAAGCCATGACAAGCAAAACACAACTGTTTCCAACACAATTTAGTTGCTTGAGTTACTGAAATAATAGTATTTTATAAATTCTATAGACATCATGAAATCCATATGTATACGTCCATGGATCAATAATTGTTCCAAATGGCCATGTTATTCCAATCCTTAAAAAACTCCAATAGGCCATCAAATAAGCAATACAGATTTTAGTTAGAGTAATAAAACACGCACTAAATTGTTATAATACTAGAAGATACCCATTTTGATCTCAGCATATTAAAAGCTATATCAACAGCACAGTACCTTTAGCAACTTCCTCAAGCAACTGCTTTATTTTAAATTCTTCCAAAAAGAACAAAAATCTAGACCAAAATATGAGTTTAAAAAAGACTGATAGAATGACAACAAATCTAACATAATAAACTCCAGAAGTAATCTAAGATTTTTTGAATTGTAAAATTTTGTTATATCAAATTTTCCTTGAAAATCTGTAGAACTAATTTTGTTACACTGACTACTAAAGGGAGAGGGAATGTGGCATAACAACTATCTGAATTAACATTTATTGTAGCTCTGCTATGTTCCTGGTACTGTTCTAAGAAGTTTATTCAATGTTAATATTCAATGTAATCCTTACGGTAATTTTATAAAAATGGTATAAATAGTCCCACTTTACAGATGATTAGAGACAATGAAGTTAAATAACTTGCCCAAGGTAAAAACAATTCATATGGCAGATCTAGGATAGTGTATAAGCATGGGCTCTGGTGTTGGAGAATGGGGTAAATTTGGGTACCTCTCTGAACTTACTGAAACATATAGATTAACTATTACTAATGAGGAAAAAAGCAACAAATTAGGATGAGGTAACTAATTTTAGGCATCAATTTCCTTCATAAAGTAGCATTAGGATTTCCAAAAGTGTTATAGAAGGCAAACAAACGAACACACACAGCAAGTACAGAAAACAATAATCAACAGAGAATCCATAAATCCACCTCAAAGCAACCCCAATACAAATAGGCCTTGAAAATCCAACAGACACAAGAACTGGGAAATGTGTAATTATGTTCCGTGCATATTCCAAATAGAAATTCTAAATATTTCTATAACTTAAGTTTTCTAGCAACACGTGAAGTCAATAGCCCTAGAGTAATCACTACAGAAAAAATACAAATTCACTGTTCCCTTTTTCTATGCTGATGTTACACAGTATTACTTACTTTGGAAAATACTTGATATGAAATGGTAAGTAAGCTTAAGTGCTATAGCAAAAAAGTACTGTAAATTAAGTCTTTTGTGAACTTCCTCTAGGTAGTTACTACAACTATCAGAGATTCCTGTGATTTCCTACTCAGATCTAAAACCTAAAACTGAACTTAACCAAAGGTCACTTATGTGACAATCAGTAAACAAAATTGAACAGCAAAACAGATAAAGACCTCCACTCTCCATTCCTCTAAAGCTCATGAATTTTGGAGACCTCTTTTCTCAACTAAAATTTAACCATTTACCTAATCTTAGCAGCCTAGTGCAAGGAAATTAAAGTGAGAAGAGGAATTACTAGTGGCACAATGAATGACAACATGAAGAGCCTGACAGTAAAGAGAAATACAGAACATAAAACTAACCCAGAATCATCACTACCAAAAAAAAAAAAAAGTTGTATTTCAATACACCATATTAGGGTAAACAACACTAAGCCATCAAAATAAGCTAAATTAAGCTCAGTATCTTCTAATACAAATGGTTCCCAAAACGTGGTCGTTGTGTTATAGAACAGGGAGAGGGGCAGCCTAAACCCCGCAAACCTGCCTATTCTAAATGGGTTCTGCCATCCGCCGCATCAACACAAAACATAGGAGACTTTAATGGAAAAAAACTTTAATAAAACTAGGAAACAATACAGGAAAGGCAAAAAATCTAGTTTTTAAATGAAGCACCCAAAGTGACCCATCCCCTTGTGGGTAAAAGTCCATCCATATGGGATAGGCCCAGAACAAGGCCCCAAAGCCTGCCACAAGTCTAAAGCATCTTTCAGTGGGGACCCACTGCAAAGGGTCAAAAACAACCAAACAAGCCCGAAAGAAAAAGAGCAAAATCAACATCAAGATAAAAGCTGCCATTGTCACCTCCCCATGGGTCTCACCCACATCTGTGTCACCCCATCCACGACCAAAAAACAAGCGCAGTATTTTTAGGTGTCTCTAGGCTCCATGCGCCTCCTCCAGGTCTCCTGGCTCCATCCTGCTTCCTTCCTCAGTCTCTTCTGCAGCTTTTTTCTTCCTGCTCAGCTCCACCCTCCCTTGGGTGGGGCAGGGAACCTCCCCCTTTCCTGGGGACCACCCTGTTACAGTTGCAGCAGTCTAACTTACAGAGGTAGGACTTAACAGTTTTAACAAAACCTCCCAAGGTGATTTTGATGTTTGCTAAAACCTGCGTGCCATCTTTCTAGTTAAAGAAATTAGGAAATTTAGATACGTTTCAGGAAATTACAGCACATTTTAGGCAAAGTTCCTTTGCAGGAGATGAATAAAATTATGTACGCTTAAAACTCCTAAGATTCAGGGCCTCCCTGGTGGCGCAGCCGGTTGAGCGCCACGCTATGGGGCTGTCCGCAGCCTCTGCAGCGTGGGTTCAATTCCCGGCCGGCCAGGGAGATGCCCACATGGCATGGCAGACCTCTCTTGTCATGCCCACTGTTCCCCTCAGCAGTGTGTTTCGGTCCTTCTGCCTGTTCTGCTCTCCACTCTGTCTCTGATGAATCCTCTCACCCCCCCGCACCTCTGGCCTGTACCCCAGTGCTTGTATAAATAAATAAATCTTAAAAAAAAAACTCCTAAGATTCAGTTATCCAAAAAACATACCTGTAGCACACTAATTAAATTACATTAGTAGTCAATAATTAGATCATAACAAAAACATTCTAAGATGAATCAGAGGAAGACAAATTTTACACTGCCCATTTTGGATTGTGCTGAATACAACGCAGGACTATTTCCCCAGTGTTTCCCAAACCCGACCATGATTTTCACCTGTACTGTTGTTATTTCATGATTTTCTATCCACTTGCTTCTCAGGAAACTTAGCTTTTCCTACCAGTGAAATGTATCAAATCACTGATAATGATGTTATGTTTGCTGGCCTTCCTAGTTCTCCCTCACTCCATTTCTATTACATTGTCCCTACACACTAAATCACCCAACTGGCTCCTGGTAGGACTGGCCCATGAGCTATATTGGAGGACATTAGGTTTAGAGTCTGTTTGTGCCTACTTTCTACTTAAGCGACCCATCTCTAAAATTACATCTCCAATAACATTTCTTTCCTTTATCCTTCCAGTTTCAGGGATGACAGCAGGTTTTCAATACTATTAGTCCCATATTTATTCCTTTAACCACCAGCATATTACTAAGTAGACTCAAATATACCTCGACTGCAACATCTGGAGTGAGGTGTTCCTTGCTGCTGTTCCGAATGGACACAGTTGTGCTACTTATTATTTTTTCTACTTAACATGAAAATTTAAAAAAAAAAATCAGTCCATGTATCAGTTAGATTCACCTTAATCAACACTGAAACACATGCACCACACTTGGGGAGAAAAACTCATCGCCCAAAGTTACAGCAACCTTATCTCGAAAAAACAGTATATAAATGGGCCAAATGTGAGACTTGATCTTAGTGAATGTTTTAGAATTTTATCTAATTCATAGAGGTAAAAGCAGACATTGCTTATCTTCATTCAATTCATTCAATCAACACCTATTGGTCACATATTATAACACCTACTGATCGCTGTCTTCTTGAAGCTTACAGTCTAGTCTAAGTTGGGAGAAAAACCCCCAGCAAGTAAATATGTAAGACATAAACACATAGTATGGTGATTCAGTACCATAGACAAAAATAAAGCAGAGAAGCAAAATGCAATAGGCATTTCATACAAGCAAAGACCTGAAAAAAGGGAGAAATGAGCTATGTAAATTTATCGTGGAGAAATATTACAGACTGAGCAAACAAAATGTACCGACTCGAACATACAAGTCTCCTTGGTACATGCCACCCAAGCTTCTGGTAGCCCTGTTAGTGACTGAATTAGTAAAAAAAAAGGTATATTAGTAAATAAATCAATAAATCTAATAAACCTTTCAAAAATGCCCATTTAACATTGTGTGTGTGTCTGTGTGCGCAAGTGCAAGAGTATGTGTGAAAACCTATATGCAACATTTTGTTCTGTAGTTTATATATCTAGCCACTATGAAAAGACTGAAATGGTGGTTCTCAAATTAGTCTTTTGATGAGAAAACATTGGTGTCATCTATGAACATGATAGAAATGCAAATTTAGGCCTCCTTGGTGGCACAGTGGGTTGAGCGCAGCACTGTGAAGCTGTCCACAGCCTCTGCAGCGTGGGTTCGATTCCCGGCCACGGCCGGCCAGGGAGATTCCCACATGGTACAGCAGACCTCTCCCCTCTCACCAGCTGCTCCCCTCAGCAGTGTTTTCTGTCAGTCTGCCTGTTCTACTCCCCGCTCTGTCTCTGGTGAATCCTCTCACCCTCCCACACCTCTGGCCTGTACCCTAGCTCTTGTGTAAAAATAAATCTTTAAAAATAAAAAAA